AAACATTGAGAACTTGATGGTGGCAAAGTTTAGCCGTTGCAAAACGCCCAGCTCTAATGGCGTGTGACTGCTCAGTGGTTTCTTAATGTAGCCCACCCACCCCAGCTGCACACCGATTCCAGCCATCTGAGGACCAGACTGCGGAGCTGCCTTTACTGCCTCCGCAGCTGTGCTCCTTTACACTCATGGGCTATTTGGGAGCTCTGCTTTCGTGTCCCTGCAGCTCTCTGAGCAGGAGCAGTGTGACTGGTCTTACAGACCAGTTTATGCTGAAAATAGCCCTTCGTAGTTGGATGGAGAAAGCAGTGGCAAACCCAGACCTTTGTATGTATTTAAAATATAGTGAAGCACTCTTCAAATGAAGAACCAAAAGAGTGCTAATAAATTACACCTACTTCTTCTTCTCCTGTCTCGTCATTCTGATTCCCTACCAGGCCCCGTCTCCTAAAATAGGCCAACCGACTTCTCTCTTTCCCCTTCCCTTCTTCCCTCCTCTTCCCCTTCTCCTCCTCTCCTTCTCTCTCCTCCTCTCTTCTTCGGTCTCCTTCCCTACCCCCTTCCCTTCTGTCTTTCCTTCCTGTTGTGTGTGTGTGTATGTGTGTGTGTGTGTGTGTGTGTGTGTGTTTAAAGGTATCATAGACTCCTCAAGATTTGCATTTTTCATCTATCATTGCATTGCTAAGCTCGGGTCCCCCATTTTATTGTTACATAGCTGTGGTTTGTTTACGTTTTCTCTTGTAAAGTGTTCTGTTGTGTGAACATTCTGCAACTTGTCTGTGCACCTGATGATAGGGATCTGGACTGCTTCCTCCCTTTCTCCCTTCCACCTTTTTGGCTGTTATTATCAGTGTTTTTTCAGAAATTCTTGTATTTATTGCTTAATTCTTGTGTGTTAAGATATACTTAGGCATGGAGTTACTGGGTTGTACATAGGATGTGAGGTGTCCGTTTAGATAAGAACACGAAATTGTTTTCCAGGGTGTTTATGCAGCCACCAGAGAACTCTGCTCATGTCTGCCCCATGTTTGGTGTTATCAGTCTTTTTAAATTTTGCCAACACAGTAGGTATAAAATGGTATCTTTCTGTACTCTTAATTTGCCTTTACTTGAGGTTGAGCATTTCTGCATGTTTATAAACCTTCTGTGCTTCCTTTGTGAGATAAGGATGCATGCTTTTCATGTCTTTCTCTCGTGTTCTTACTGACTGGTCAGCGTTTCATGTAGTGTGGTGCAAACCCTCTGCCTGGTGAATGTCTTACTCAGCTCCCCCAGTTCACAGATTGTTCCCACTCTGGTTAACATCTTCTGGTGGACAGAAGTCTGTTTTTGTTTCTTTGTTTTTTGAGACAGGATCTCACTGTGTAGTTGAGACTGAACTGGAACTCACTATGTAGGCCAGGTTGGTCTCGAACTCACAGCGATCCTCCTGCTTCAGCCTCCCGAGTGCTGGGATTATAGGCGTGCACCACCATGCCTGGCAGAAGTCTTAATATTAATGTAGCCGAACGTTCTGGTCTTTTATATATATATATATGTGTGTATACAAAGTTTAACCTTTTCTGTTTCTTTACAAATTCTCCCCTACTTCAAGCTCAGAAAGATATTTACATTTTCTTTTTAAGTTTTCAAAGTTTGCTCTTGACATTTAAGTTCTTCATCCATCTGGAGTGGATTTTTCGACTTGGTATGACTAAGAGTCCAATTTCATTTTTTTCCTATGGATAAACAGTTTTTCCAGCTCCTCATTCTTCTAAGCTGTTCTGTTCAAAAATCAGAGTTTCACAGATGCAGTAATTCTGTTTCTAGGTTTATCTGTACCGTGGATGAGTTTATCTCTGCCGGGTTGCCATACTATCATAATTGCCACAGCTTTACCGCAAGCTCTGCTAGCTGGCAAGGCCAGGCCCTTCTCATTCTTCAGAAACGTCTCAGCTATTGTTGACCCTTTTGTTCTCCCATGTATCCGGAGTCACAGAATAATTGAGCTATAATTTATATACAGTAAGATTACTATCTTTGAGTATAGTTCTGGGCTTCAGCGAGTACATCTGTCCATATAACCATTGGCTCAGCCAAGACATAAGCCACTTCCATCACCCTCTCCAAATTCCCTCATTCCATTTGTCATCAACTTCCTCTCTCCACACCAACCACAGCCCTCGTTCTTCACAACTACCACTCTTTTCTGTTGCTTTTAGCTTTAATATCTACAATACCTAATTTAAATGGCCTCTCTTTTTGTTTTGCTGGAGTTATAATAAATCCATAGATCAATTTCAGAAGGAATCTGTATCTGACATAGACGACTTACAAGGCCTCAGCCAGCTGTTTAGGGTCTCTGATGCTCAGTCCCTCTGTCTTTATGGCCCCTGGAACATCCCTTCCTCATGCGGTTGTTTTAAAGATTTAAATAAATGCTGCCGAAGTGTGCAGAGTGTCGGAGACAGTGGACCAGGCCAGTGAAGCTGTGAGCGCAGGAGGTAGTTACGTGAGAGGAACCTCTTCACTTGCCTGCAGGAAGACGGGCTAACCTCCCAGCGTGTTTGGTTCCCCGATGACTTTGACACAGTGTCAGGACCGAAAGATGGCCTTGAATCATTTCCCTGACATATTTGGAAAGGGGTAGTGTTACCAAGCAGCCTGCTCCGCACTGCTGCTTCTAACAGGGATTTGGACTGGCTGGAGGACACAGTTGACAGACAATTCATTTTGCTGATTCACCCATTAGAGGTGTGGCTTGGAGCCAGAGATTGGCTCCTAGATTAAAGGCGGAGGGCTGCAAAGCTGCTGGGATTTGAAGGAATGCCGGTGAATTATCCCCCTGTGAAGGCCAGCAGTGAAAAATGGATTGTTCTGTTTCCCCTTTTAAGTGATCCTAATTCCAAATGCGCTCAGATAAATTCCCTCGCTGTGTTAGTGAGTTGTTTGTAGCATCTGTCGGTGGGACTAAGAGCAGAATGATTGGAAACAGTCGGATGCTGCTAAACAGATCGTTTGGCTCCATTCTGGCCCTGTCATCATCTTTGTTGTCTTGGGGAATATTGACTCAAGCCTACTCTTTTACTTAGTAATCCAAATTAAATCTGAGAGATTATTGCAAGTGCCATCCTTCTTCTGGGCATGCTTCAGAATAAACCGTGCAGATCAAAGTGAAATTTAAGAAGGAAGTGCAGGAAACGCTTACTTGCCAGCAGTTGGTAGGACCAGCAGGTCCCGCTGCAGACCATGTGGATCGATGAGCAGGTTGAAGTCACTCATCTCCCGGGCTGGCTGCCTTCACCGTGTCATCTCCTCGTGAGTCGCAGCACGCCGCTTTGAGCTCACGTTTCAGCTCCTCACTCTACTGCTCTGGGAGACTTTGCAGAAGATGAAAGTTCCTTAATACTTTGAGGGATTTTTCCTTTTTCATCTTTAACTGTGGAGTGAACATTGGAAGAGTAGAGCCGACTTCCTAGTGAAACATTGAAGAAATATTTTTTCTCTTTAAAATTATTTTTAGGTGGATAAATATTTAGGGCACAGTGTTCTATAAATTATTGCTGTGCTGAGAAATTTTACTCAAATCTGTTCCCCTTGAAGATGAAAGTGTCAGGTGTTGGACACGCGCCGTGTCTGCCCCTTCTCTTGGAATTAAAGGCCCTGATACATTGGAGTCCCTTGTCGGCCTCTGCGTGTTTATTTCCACTGGCTGCCTCCCCCCATGCATTCATTCACATATTTATCGGAAACTACTCCGTACCAAGAGCTGTGCAAGGTCTGAGTATAGAAGTTCTGTTTCTGATTTCATAATCCTGGTGTAGTTACCCAGGTACCAAGATTGCTCCTGACCACATAGCAAGGCTCTCGCTGTCTGACTGTCAGTGTGGGTAACTCTTGGCAGGGACGGTGGGCTGGGAGAGCATGTGCCCAAACTGCATGCTCCAGTGTGTGGGCACCCATCCACCCCAGACCTTCCATTGGTCCTCCTCACTCCCACACCGCCGGTGTGTTCCAGCCACAGGCTCCAGGGAGAGGGAAAGCGTGGGATTAGAACAAAACTAACCTGGCTGGTGCTGGGGATGTAGTTCAGTGGGAGAGCCCTTGCCTGCCATGTCTAGCACTGTAGAAACAAAAACAAACAAAAACAAAAACCCCACCTGGTCTAAATCTGAAGCATTCACATAGTGGCCAGGGAAAATAAGCTCTGGCTTTCAAGCTCTCCTTCCAGCCGAAGGCACAGTACAGAGAATTAAGTCTTTAAAAGTGGAAAGAGAAGAGGCATGTCTCAAGTATTACGAAGGCAGCTGGAATTTGCAGGTGGCAAAATGAGATTCAGAGCAGCAAGAAGGACCTTGGCAGTAGGGTTAGAGTAACCTGATTGCACCCTAGAGACACTGTCCTGATTTCTCATCAATAAAAATGATTCCTCCTTGTAAGCGTACTGGGAAGACACAGCACTGTATGTGCAAAACACTGGGCACAGATGCACAGTAGGCCTTCGGAATTTCATACAGTGTTCACCATTGCCCACACAGCTTTTCTTGTCTTTTTTTTGTTGTTGTTCTGGGGATCAAACTCAGGACCTTGTGTTTGCGAGACAGGCAGCGGAACCACCCAGCTAAATCCCGAGCCCCTTTTCTTGTCATTTTTAACAAAATAGTAATAATTTAGTTTCTGCCTAGTGGTTTTATCTTCATTTTCTTCCCCAGAAATGAATAATATTCAAGCAGTCGTGCCAGCTACAAATGTTTTGAAATTCAGTGATTTACTTAGGTCATTATAGTTTTCTTGCGGTTTACAAAGCATCTTCCCACTGAGGGAGATCGGACAGCAGTGACTTTTTGCAGGCGAGGATACTCAGATGAGAATGTTTATGGGCTGTGCCCGACACTGCCTGTCTTGTAAGTGGCAGAGCTTGAGTTGAGTGCTTAGACCTGAGGCCAGGGCTTCTAGGGCCACCTCAGGCTCTTTCCTAAGCGACATGTTGATCTTTTATTAGGATTTCTTTCTTTTTCTTGTAGCTGTCAATACCAGCAGATATGCAGAAAGCTATCGGATCCAGACCTATGCTGACTATGTGGGGAAAAAACAGGGAGAGAAGCAGATCAAGAGCAAATGGACAGATGACAGCTGGAAGGAAGTAGAGAGAAAGCAGCTGAACACACAGGGCTTGTCTCACTCGCTTCAGAACCACTACTACCCTCCTGACAGGTAAGTGTGCTGCCCAGCGATAGGCAGAGTTGTTCCAGCGTAGCTTTTCTGGTTGCTTCCTTTAGGATTGTAAGTAAGAAATCTGACTTTGAGGAAGGTTTTTTTTCCAACTTTTACCTTGTGTCACAAGTGACTGCTCCTTGAAGTCCTCAGACTTGAGAGGACGAATGTTTTCTGGACCACAGCTATCTCACTTAACACTCATAGGATCCTCTGGAGCAGGTGAGGAGTGAGAAAATGCAGGCTCTGTGACTTGCCTCCCGTGGAGTGGAGGGGCCGAGATGAGAGTTCGTCTGCTTCTAGTCTGTGTGTGGCTCCGCCTGAGCTGGCTCCTTTCGGTTCCTACACAGATACTGAACCCCCGTATGCTCCTTTAATCATCCGTAATTCCCCTTCAGAAGTAAACACTGGCAACAGTAGGTATAGAAAACCAAAATCTGTATATAATATAATTAATTATAGAAAATCATAAAATTTAGGAAAAGGTGAACGGACAGAAGAAAAAAACTAAGCCGTGATCCCAGTACCCCAGAGCAGTCTCTATTGATACTTTGGATTGCTCTGTGTGCTTTTTAAAAATTTTTTAGCGATTTTTAAAAATTGAAGCATAATTAAGAAACTGTAAAATGCACAGATCATTAAATGTTCAGTTCAGAGTTTTGACAGTTGCATACATCCATGTAACCACCACCAAAACAAGATAGAGAATATTTCTGCCTCCCCCAAAAGTTTCCGCTTACCGTTTTTGTGCCGTTTCGAATTACTTCCACCCTGAGCAACCAATTTTAATTCTTACCACTATAGATCAATTTTGCTTATTCTTGGAATTTATAAACTGAATCACGTGGTATTGTGTTTGCCTCTGTTACTTAACATGCCTCTGAAATTCACCCTGGCTCTTATGTCTGTTTTTGCTTTTATTTTTGAGTGCGATTCTGCTGTGTGAACGTGCAGCATTTATTTTACCATTGTCCTGTTGGTACACATTTGGATGGTTTCTGGTTTACGGCTGCTACGAATAAAGCTGCTCTGAACACATCATTAAAAAAATTTGTCAGCGTATGTTTTTATTTCTCTTGAGTACATGCCTGGGAGTAGAATTGTTGTTTGTTCGATATTTGGTGTTTAGATGTTAAACTTTCTAAGAACAACAACAAAAACTAGTTCTCCGAAACAGATGTACCATTTTGTAGCATGCTAGTAATTAATGTGAGTTCCAGATGCTCCACACCCTTGTCAGGATTTAGTGCCATCAGCCTTTAAATTTTAGCCATTCTAAAGGGCATGAGATGGTGTTCTGTTGCGGTTTTAATTTGCATTTCTCTCGTGACTGACAAGGTTAAACACCTTTTTTTTTGTGACTACAACATTACCCCAGTGTTGTGCCACTGAGCAGTGATCTCCACTCCAGCCCACGGCCATCTTTGGATGTGCTTGTTGACTCTTCAGATATTTTGGGGCTGGCTGTTTTAAGTCTCTTGCCTCTTTTTCCTTTTCCTTTTTCTTTTTTCTTTCTTTTTTTTTTTTTTTTTTTTTTTTTTGGTGCTGGTTGTCGAACTCAGGACCTTATACTTGTGAGGCAGGGGGGGTGCCCCTGAGCTAAATCCTCGGCCCTCATGTCTCTTTAAGTTGGATTTTTTTTTTTTTTTATCTGCTGTTGATTTTTAGGAGTTCTTTTATGTATTGTGGATGGATATATAGCCTTTTTCAGATAACATGTGCTGCACATAATGTTTTTAGGCTGAGCCTTTGCTTATTTGTTATGATGTCTTCTAATGAGCAGATTTAAAAAAAATTTTTGATGAAATCCTATTTATGAATTTTTTTATGATTAGTGGGTTTTTTCCTTAAAAATCTTGTCCAAGAGCTGGGGATTTATCTCAGTGGTGCCCCTGCCCGCCTCACCAAGCGCAAGGTCCCGAGTTTGATCCCCGGTACAAAAAAAAAAAATCTCTGATTATTCTAAGGATAATTTTTCTCATGTTTTCTTCTAGAAGGTTTGTTATTTTAGCTTTTGCATGTGGGTAATGATCTGTCTCAAATTAATTTTGTATATGGAGTGAGATGAGGGTTATCTGGTTTTTCCAGCAGTATTTATTAAAGAGACTTTTCTTCTCTCACTGGTTTAACTCACTATCTTTATAAAAAAAACAAAAACAAAAACAAAAAAAACTCTGGGGGCTGGGGATTTAGCTCAGTGGCACTGCGCCTGCCTGGCTAGCACAAGGTCCTGAGTTCAATGCCTGATACCAAAATAAACAAATGAATTAAAAAATAAACTCTGTAAGACTAGGTCTATTTCTAGATTCAGCTTTTCTGTTCCACTTATTTGTATGTCTTTTCTTATGCTAATACCACACTACTGACTGCATGGTAAGTCTTGAAATCATATACCTTGTAACTACTTTTTCAAATTGTTTTAGCCAATCTAGATCCTTTGCATTTCACATAAATTTTACAGTAATTTGTTTCTTTAATAAGTTTATTTTTCAGTTTTTACTGAAAAGATATTATATATCTTACATTGCTTTTCTTCAGCATCAAAAATAAGTCTATTTTGATATTGTACATGAAATTGCTTCTTAAATTTCACTTTCAAATTATTTATAGAAATATTCATTGTTGTGATTGGCCTTATATCCTACTACCGTTTTAAATTCATTTGTTTGTTCTGATAGTTTTCTTAAACATTCCATATGATTTTCTGTCTGTACAATTGCACTTTGTCTGTACTGGTCTTTTGTTTTGATTAAGGTTTGCTGTATAGTCTAAGCTGGTCTCTGTCTGGAGTCTTTATGATAACAGGCAAAGCAGCTCTTAATAGCTTCTTTGATTTCTCATCCAACAATATATTCCAGGCTTCTCCCACACATTTCTTACTTTCTGTTTGTCCAAGGAGCACTATTCCTACTAATGGGGAATGAGAAATGATATTTAGAAACCATAATCTGAGTTCTAGGGGCGTTTGTGGATATTTTATTGGTTTTCTTTAGTAATAGTTCTTTTGAATGAAGAGTTAGCAAGGAAATCTTTTCACTCTTCCTTTTTCTTTTTTTAAGACAAATTTATATAGATATTTTCACCTACACACTAAAACTTTTGCTTAATTTATTTTATTATAATCCTCTTGTTATGCTGAAGGTTGTGGTTCCTATTCATGTAAACCGTTTTTAGCCTGCAATGTATAAGCAGTCTCAGAATAACTATTGATGCCATTACTAATATATATAATTATTGAAAAAAATCTGCAGTTATCTTTTTCCTTAGAGTATATTTCAGTAGACATTAATGGTCATATTACTGTGCCTGGGGCTGGACATATGGCCCATCGCAGGGTACTTGCCTAGCGTGCACAGCGCCCTGAGCTTTACCGTAGCGTGTGTACATGTGTACACAAACACACCTGTGTTTTAAAGTTCCTTGAGATAATTCATCTCTGTGTGATTAAACTACAAATTCAATAAACATTTTGTTTGTAAACGTTTTACTTTTAGGGGTTACTTTTTTAAAATTTAAATTTGCTTTATAATTATGTAAAATCAGTAGGTGGCTCCAGCATATTCAGGACAATGTCTTCTCCGTTTGCCTTTCGTGTCTCTTTTCTCCCATGCCCTTCAGGCAGGTTATGTTTTTAGTGTGCCCTTCCATCTGTACAAGTATGTAAATAATCGCACATGCCCCTCACGCACACATTGCTGGAGGAATAGCAATGTATCACATGTACTGTTCTCCGCTTTATTCTTTTCCTATAGCCATAGTCTTGTATCTTGGAAATCTGTTAAATTATGGTTTTCTATACTGCAAGGGACTGTGGTGTTCTTCAACCTCCTTAGTAAAGTGTACCTTCCAGCTACACCTGGCTGTTTGAATTCTAGTTTATGACCTCGTAGCAAAATTCATGAACATTGTACAGGTCAGATGCTTTGTGAGAAACTTAACTCAGGACCGGTGCTCTTGTTCAGGTGAATCATACTTTTGCCTTTTCTCATCTTCTGTGTTTCTGGTCCCATCAGGACAAAGCCCAGGTACACATAGGATGCTTTTTGGAATCTCTGTAGGCCAACGTGAGAAACAAGAGGACATTCATATTTATTAAGCATATTTTTCTTTCCAACCACTTGTGTGAGGTGCTTTTCATCACTTTATTTAATCTCTACAACAGCTCAGGAAAACCCATGGTAATATGATATTCCTGATTTATATATGAGAAAGTTGAGTCACAGCAAAACTAAATAATTTAGCTACAGTTAGAGAGAATTCTAATGTTGAGGCATTTAGGACCCATAGTACAGTGTGTTAAATTACCTTTTAGGATTGTGGTGTGTTTATACTTACACTTGACTGCAGGCTGCAGAGAGACATCTCATTTTAATAAATTATGTTCCCTTATATAAAACCAAAAATGTATATATATGGTAAAGAAACCCTAAGAAAATCTCCCTATTTCAACCCCACTTCTTTTGTGGGAGGATTTAGATGGCCAGCGTCACGGGTCACCAGGGACAAGGGGAAAAAGTGAGAACCAAGACCTGTCATGTAGAGGTACAAGATCCCGACAATGAATGTAACTGTACTGCATCCCTAAAATGTACCAATAAACTCAATTAAAAAAAAAAAAACTTAAAAAGAGACAGAAGGAATCCTGGGATGAGTCACAAGCCGGCATGAGAAGTACTGCAGTGTCCTCCTCCTGGTTTGCTCAGCCCTGGTCTTGCACCTCGTGGAACCCAGTCTTGGTCTTTGCCGGGTGGGCTGAATGGTTTTAAGTAGAGGAACCAGGACAAGTAGTGTGGTGGTCACAGGAAGGCGGAATTTTGAGTCTGTTCAGCATGAAACAGAGGCAGCAGAGGGCAGGAGGGAAAGTGTAGTAACCACCATCAGGATTATGAAAGTGCTGTGAGAAGAGCAGTGGATGGCAGAGAAGCCTGAGGGTGTTTGGCAGCAGCATCCTCAACCCTGTCCAAGGATGAGGATACCTGAGGGTTAGGAGAGGAGGACTT